GTTTAAAGAAGGCAGCAAGCGGAGTCGATTACATGAATTCCAGGGAGAGCATAGCTCACAGGCACAAGGCTCAGACGAATCTCAAAGTCACCACCACATGGTGTGGTCACACGAACAGTATTATATGTATGTCTAGCGGTCACTAGTAATTGCCACTCTTGTACGCCAAAGCTTGCCTTCGGGCCAAACCAAATCCACATCTCTTCATTTTCTCCAACTTGATGCGTTCTTCTATCTAATGGGAAGTCTCGAAAGCTACAGCACAAGCTAAATGGAAGACCAATATGAACAGGAGAATGCTTAGAGATGTTCGTGAGGAGGATTGTATTTACACTTCTTAAGCATGATTTTTGAAATTGACCGTTGTCTCTCGCCTACACAGTAAAGTTTACATATACCGTACCTATTAAAGAGTTGATAAACGCCTTTATTCAGACAGAAAGGGTAAAGGTGGGGTTTTAGCATGTCGCGCCCCGGAGCTTCCAATAGAATGGAAGAAGGCATAAGTGAGGTTGAATACAAGCATTCCGAAGAAGGCAAGGCAAATGGGGCCTGAAGGTGACTGACAAACGTCGGGTAGTCACATAAGCAAAGCATTACATAGCAGGCCTCAAAGTCCAACTCACCAGGCGGAAGAAATAGAGGTGCCATTGAGACCTCAACTTGTACAAAAGATGGAACATACGATACAAAACGGGCATATTAATCAAAGAGTTTGTGCTTTTTGAGTCATCGCGAAGCATAAGACTACAGACACAGTTCCATAATTAGGTCGCTGTTAAATTTTAATGGGGCAATATATTCGTTTGACATAAAAATGAAGAGCTGAACAAACAACAAAAGTCTTGTACTTAAACTACGATTTTTCCGAAGCATTTTTACTTGGGAATTTAGCAAAGTTTGAAACTGCGAAATCACTTTTGTGGATTACGTTAGGACCTATCAGTACATCAGAATGGAAATCCTTTTATTCTGTATAGAGTATTCTATAAATGGTAATGCGTTGTTAATTCTCTGTTTTGATTGGCCTCGCAGCGAATTTTGAAATTCGTCTCGGCGGTGAGTTGTTGCTTCGGTAGTTGGTACATTCGGGGTGTTAGGTGGCTTCGCGTTTTACGTCTTTCTTGTTGGCTACTGCAAAGGGTGTTAATCCACACTTCCTTGTTCTCACCGAACTTCAGTCTCGTTCTATTACTGGATGGATGACAGTCTTGTTCAACGTAGACTCTGTGCCATCGTCAAATACGACATATTGCAAGAAATACTACTGAATCTTGAATACGAAAATGCTTATGGAGGGTTGAGTCCCAACGAAGAGGAGGTAGTGCACGGTCGGCTTGTATTTTCTTCTATCCAACTTAGTTGTTGAATATATATCGTGAGGCGTGGACTGCCTGCCACATGGGAAGATCCTCTTTCCAAGCTAAAAGACTGTGCAATCCTGAAATACGGGATCTATTTTGGAGTAGGTTCGAGGAGAAGCTCGATGAGAAACTGGATGCTATTGATGAAGATATACTTCATTTTGAAGATCCCGAGTCCACTCGTCGAAATAACAAATATCAGTGGAGCAAGCTTTGTCGGCAGGTCACACAGCTAACAGAGGTAACCTGTGTTTTAATTGTCATTATGAACTAAATTATCGTCAAGTAAAGCTAGGTACATTGTATTTAAGCTAGCTTGCTTCTGAGGCGGTATCCGCACAGCAGGATTTATTTACTCGGAGGGCTACCATTCAGAAGGACCTAACGCTTGCCCTTGGGAGGGTTTTGGGATGTGAGGTAAAGGCTCTGGTAACTCGAGTGGCCAATTTGGAGGACAAAATAAACGCTCGTCTTTTGCAACCTTCACAAAGATCCACCGACCTTCAACGTGCGTAGTACGTTCTGTAGTTCTGTCCCCTTTCTTTTTATGGCATAAGTTTTATTGATGCGAAATTTTAGTGAGCGCTTGACACGAGAGAAGGTTGAATTGGAGGAGCGGGTTTCCAAACTTACTGATCTCTTGAATACCTACAATGCGCACAAGGAGCGTTTCCTCGAGCTGGCTTGTCGTCAAGTTGACGCTCAGTGCCAAATGGACTTTATTAAGCAACTTAAGGAAGCTGTTTCATCTGCTAGTGGGCAACAATCATCTATTGAAGGACACTCGGTTGATGGGAACGTTGAAAAACCGGAGCAGAGATTTTTTTACACAAACCTTTGAACTTCGTTTGTTCTCCTGTTTTGTAGGCACTTAGACGTAAATAGATTTTATTTAACTTGACCATTTCTCTGCCTGGTCTTGATTTTGACCCCGTGTGGATGCTATTTGATGGATTCTCCTGTTCTTGCATTATTTCGAATAAACGAATGAATAATGTAGTCTTTCACTCTGATTAAGTATGTTGAGTGTTTTGTCACTCCTCTACTTCATTGTTGGTACTTCGGCTTACGGCTTTTCCTGCTTTCGGGTTCTGATGGTTCCGCGGTGTATCGATTATGTATAGGAAATCGGTGTTGATTTAAGCCGGATTTCTCCGGCGTTAATAAGCGCTCACTTCGCTTTGTTATTAAGGTAGACATTACGTAGCAAATTTGTCAAGAGTGGTGTAGGAGTAGTACAGTGCGAGGGGCTCCGAAAAATAGGCATCTACTCTAGGCTAGGGGAGCATTTGGTAACTTCTGAACTTCAGAATTGGTTGTGACCTTGATTAAAACGCGTTCGGCCCTGTCTGAACTCTGTTGGACTTGTTCAGTGCCATCCTCCATAACATGTCGCAATTTTATCACATTGTCTTATCTTCCTCTAGACGTTTTATTGTAATGTGCATTCGATGCACAAGATTTTAATTAAGGCATCCTCGGCGACTTGGAAAGGTTTTTTTCGGCTGATGGTTTTTCCAGTCTTGTAATGTCATAGTTACGGTTTTGTCTGCAGCTGCAATGCATTTGTCCTGGTTAAACTTTCGGCAATTTATACTTTGAATACCAATGCCGTTTGGTGGTGGAAAACAGAAGTAACTTGTGTGACAATCCATGTGGAGCATTTCTTTACGATTTTAGCTTTCAAAGGAAATGCAGATGGAAAATGAGTCGTCGAGGAGAGAGGAAGTTAAATGCATACCCACTTCTTCCGACACTTCCCCCAGAAAAGTAACGGAGGCAGAACAGCATCTAACAAATGAAAACCGCGGGAAAGCATTGGACCTATTTAATCCTTGTGTGGTTGCCAATGATCGGTAAGAATTTAAAAATTAGAGCTTAATATCAAAATTCGTCTCCCCTGATAGAAATGTCAAAATTGTGACCAAGGGTGCTCCCGTCCACCGATCCCAGCCTATTGACTCTGGTGGCGGTTTCTTTCTTGATCCACCCTCCCTCTCACAAAATCACAAAGTGGTGCATTATGAGAAGTCAGAGGAGGATACCGACACGTCGGATGACATTGTTTGTGCGGGACAGCAGCGTCGAAGAAAACGTCGAAAATTGCAATCGAAGCAGTCGTTAGTTTCACCACCATCGTCAGCTTCTGAAGCTGCACTGGTTGTTCCTCGCCCGCCAGATGAAGAGAAGCCTGTCTGTGATGAGTGCTTACGTGAATTCGATGATTCCTACCTCTTGAGCAATTTTGATTGTCAGGTTTGCGATGGGTGTAGGTAAGATGTGCATTAAACTGGTACTTGCAATTTGTCAGTAAGGTATAATTCTTCAAATGTAAAATTTTAGGGATCCTAAGGGGATCCACACCTTAATTACGCGTTCAACAGCTAAAGAGCGGTATCTTCTAACTGATGTTGATTTGGACGTAAGAGAGCCACCACTCCGAAGAATTTATAAGAAGAACCCACGGAATTCCTCGTGGGGTGATATGCAGTTGTTTCTTGAAGCTCAGGTTTGTCTGGTGTTGATTTAATCAGACTATTTCAGGGGAACGGAAAGTAGTTTGTAACTTTTAGCTAAACTGAGAATTTAAGGAATTTTATCGGCTTTTAATAATGGGCGAAGGTGCTACAGGAACTGAACGCATGTTTTGGCTTATGTTCTTGAAAATCGGCTTCACATCCGCCAACTAACTGCCTGCTAATTATTCAAACGCCGTAGTTAAAACAAAGTTCATGGATATTTAATGACTAGCGTGATGTGATTAGCCGGGATACATGTTGGGAGACATTTATCTCTTTATCCAATGAAATAGGTTGCGGCTCGTTCACTGGAGATTTGGAGCTCAGAAGAGAAAGTGGAGGCAGAGCGCACGAGTCGCGTCGTCAAACGTGAGAGGACCAAGTTGCGAGGATTTCAAAAAAGAGTCAAAGGTAAGAAACAGGCCAAAGTAATGGCTAGATAAATGGTGGCACAGAAGTAGTTTTGTTTTGAAGTTTTCCAAAAATCACTTCGATTGGCATATGCTCTCACAATTCCGTTTTTTACTTGAATAATCCTATATTCTCTGAAAAACCGTTTGAACCTGATTGGAAGTTCGACCTCTTCACTGTCTGTTAACTCGTCAATATCGGTTTTTATTGGTTAGTGTTGGAAAAGTGCTATTTATTGGAGGCGTCCATTCAGTCAATTCTTCCTGATTAATGGAAACTCTCATACGGAAAGATAGTTGTGTGTCTCTTATCGATTTTGTAAAATTCAGTTATTCTTTTATTTGGGCTTTATACTTGCCTCTGTGAGCTTTCTGAAGCCGTGCCATCGAGCTATCTCTGTAATCTTTGACTCCTTTCTAATGCGAGCAATGGAACAAATTTTGTTGAGGTACCAACCTACTGTGTTATCAAGGAGTTTTGCTTCTTAATGCTCCAGTATTGTGTGTTGCCTCTAAAATCTCTAACACTTGATCAGCTCACTCTACCTGTGTTATCACAATGATTTCTTCCTCCTGTACTTCATTTTTCTTCAAGAAGCCAAAAAAGGATGGATAGAAGACGTTACTCATGACACAATATTATTGGAGGGATGGTCCTGCAAATGCAGTCGTTTTGGTCAACTAGTAATTCGATGTCTACTTGACTAAGTTGATACTTGTATTACGTGTATGCATTTTAAAATTGGAGGTGGACTCATGCTTGAAAATATCGTCAATTGGTACCAAAGGAGGACACTGCTCGCTTACTACTTGCCACAGCATTTTTGGCGCTAGAATTAGAACCTGCTGTTTTTGAATACGGCCTTCTTGTTGGGCATCACACCTATGAGTTGGTTGCGATAGTACCCCCATCTCACTCCTTTAAGTTGACTGCATTGCCGGCAGGAGAACTTGTGGGTTTCGCGAAACAGCCGGCTGTATTTTGAGTTTACCATAAAAGCTACAATTTTCGCACCAAAACTGGTGCATATGTTATAGCAAATAGGGGGGAGGAGTGTATCATCTTGGGCTGAGGATTGTTTTGAACGCCATTAATCCATCGTGCTTAGTCCATGTAACCGGTTTGGGGCAATTTTCGTGCTCTTGCTACGATGATGAATGTGGAACCCACCATGTGTTCTACACCTCGGAGAGATGGAACTCTAGAGCCAGTTGAAGGAAATAAGTGAATAACAATAAAGGTTGTTGCAGGAAGGCTGATTATAAGTAACGCATTTGTTAGAAATTCTTGGGCTTATGGTGACTCCGAAAAGCTATGAAGGCATTACGATAAAATTCAACGATTTCAAAATAGATGATGTGGTTTAAGATGCGATTTGAAAGATAATGGGGTTGTTGTTAAACTTTATCCGCATATTTTTGACTAATTGAGTATATTTCTTTTATGCAGAATCTTGATCTTTCTGAAAAAGTTGATCCTATTCTATTTTTTTAGAGCTTCGAATCCAGGTGCGTAGCAGTCTGTACTCAAAGAAGTCGGTTCCACACGAACACACCTTTGGTCCCGAAGTGTATGATGAGAAGACAGACACCTATTTAAAATCCTGTACATCTTGTGGCTGTACCATGTCCTTTGAAAAGATGTAATAAACCATTTTTTATAACCTTTTTATCGTTGTCTTGCCTTATTTTCGCATTGAATGCTGCTGATGTTTGTGCTCTTCGTGTGTTCCAACTTCCTCAACTTTCCAAGAATAGTATTGTATTTGGCCTTTAATGTCTTCTGAGATTGATCAGTCTACCTTACTGATTACCTAAGCAAGCAAAACGGCGCGATGGTGAGAAGTTGGTTCGAGATTGCATTGCTTGCTTGATATTGCCACCAGCGAATAAACATGAACCAAAACCTCAACTCCACTGTGGTCAGAATGACTTAGAAGAACTAATTGCCTGGTGTTACTTATTTAGAGGTTGAAGTCTGTCTAAGGCTTCGAATGTGTTTAAAGTTTTCTTGCTGGTGGCCCATTAGTCGACATCTTGTGGCCCTCTTTGGTTTCCCCTCCTTTCCCTGTTTTCAGAACCTCGGATTGGGAAAATTATTTATAAGAGATGCAGGGATAAAGTGGAACGAGTATTTGCTTCCCCATTAGAGATCGTTGCCGTCTGCTAAGTTGCATAGTCCTTTTTAGTTTATCTGTTTGTCATCAGAACCGTGTAGTCAAACAACCAAGCTCTAGAATTCGACATTTGACCGTGATAACCGTCGAACACATTGGAAAATCGGTAATCCCTTGAAAGTGGTTCAGTACCAAGCTTCAACTCCAGAATGTTGTAAATAGGCAACAGAATGAGTTTCATTACTTCCAGTTCATGAATCTCATTGATACTTTAAGAACAGATTTCCTTTGATGACTTGGGAAATTCCTTCACAGCCTTTAAGAAGGCTATCCTCAGTTGGTTATAGCGGTTATAGATGTATCTTTTCCTTCTAGGATAGGTAGCTGTCACAAAATAAGGTAGTCTCAAACGGCAGTGCTTTGCATGCTCTCCTCCTTGCCACTTTCGTGCTCTTGCGAGCTATTTACATCTAATCAACTTCGGTCTAGCTTCATGTATGGCTGACTGATGTAAGATCAATTTATGAAACCGCTCTTTTGGCAATGCTGGAGAATTTGACCAGTAACAAGCGTATTTCAACTATGAAATCATGGCATATCTGACGGTAATTGATTCTTTCTGAACACTTGTGAGAGGAGAAGTCCAAACACTTCGGGAAATCTGAAGTGTTGTCCAACCCATGCATTCCTACATTACAGCTTAGCAGTTTTGTTTCGAAATGCTTCTTTAAGCCTGGAGGGAACCATCCTCGAGCGAGGTCCAAGCTAAACATCTGATGGGTACTGGAAGAGAAGGGGCTGCAATTGGAGCTGTGAGCGCGCCAATTACGAGTGATTGATGGACTTCAGTGCCCCAACGATTGGAGGGTCCTGCCTCACGAAATCACCTGACACCACAGAGCAAGGCCGGGTTACGACGTTTCACCCACAAAGCACCTGCCACTACTTAGTATTCCATATTGTTTCGACACAACCCAACTAGTAAATTGTCCTTCTTACTGAGCTCACCAGTTTCACTCATCGTCGAAAATTCTTGAAACCGATTTGACTCAACGTTGTCTATTTCACTATTCCGAATCTACTGAGGCTTCCCTTGAATTACACACAGCGTTTGGAAGGGGTACGTCAGAGAAGCGTATTGTTCAGTATTGGTTAAATCAATGCGGTGGCACACCACATTCAGGAAGCCTATCTGAGCTTGAAAATAAATAAATTTGAGTTTAGCATATCATGGGCAACTTACAAGTTGCCTCTTTAATCTTTGCTTGCAGGATGTTTACTGATCGACTTATGATTAGAGGGGCTCTCGTTGAAGAAGTGAGGACGTAAGTGCCTACTTCAACGTGATTTCTGTAACCATTGGTTATTTTTTGAAGCAAATGATTTACATGTGTGATGATGGAAGTATCTGCAACCTATGGACCAAGCAGCACTGACGTCTGCAATTTACCTGCTTAATGCAGCAAATTGAGGACATTTGAAAACCACTGAACCAATTGGTATCAGTTCCATTCTTACTTGTTCATGATAAATATAGCCTTTTGGATTGAATTCATTGTATTAAAGTTGCAAGTGCGCCCTTGATATTAGGCAATCGCTTGATTATGTACAGACTGGGATCTCTTCTGATCGAAAAAGAGGCTTTGATAGGTAGCTTCTAAGAGTAAAGTTAGTCAAGAACGGGGAACCCTATGCTAGTTTGTGTCGTTTATGTTTTAGAAGGTTTCAGAGCCTTTGGCTATGTTTGCGTCTTACTTCATTTTCGACTCCTTTCACTCAGGCTAGCTATTCGTGCACTCGTGCAAGGCCTTTCATTGAGCAGTTTAGATTCAACTCAGCAGGACAAAGTTTCAAATCCATCGTTTTATTTGGTACTTATCAGTATAATAATGACCTGGTAAAATATGTACAAATTGTGGCGCTTCGACGATGGTTATACGGCTGATAAAGGTGCGTAAAAGGCAACATGAGGAAGGCTGTTGTGATTGATCACACGTCTACTCCCCATAGTTTCGTTCCTTGATTATCTTGTTGGTCTCATTTTATTGGTAAATGTAACTTTACTGTGAAGGACGCTTCAGATTTCACTTCCACAGGAATTGGAGGTCAAAATATCAAGACTTCGTCTTCTCCCCGGCAGCTGATTCATCAAATTCTCTATACATTCTGCTTTGCTGAGGAAGAGGAGGTCTTTATGACGTCGCCTCACCACCAGCTCCTCTAGTTTTAAGAGAATAGCTCGCTCTTGAACGTTTATAGGGTTTTTTGAGACCTTAGATGCGTATTTTTCCCACAGGTAGCGAGGAACAAGATAAAGATTTGTCTCCATGTCTGTCATATTCACTGGCAAAACTTTGAGTCCTTGAAGAATTCGAGAAAGGCTTGGATGTTGTTTGTACTTCAATAGAGATTCGTCACTCCATAATGAGAGCCTTTTGGTCCTATCAAAAAGACTTCTTACCAATTTTTGCTCTTCCCAAGCTAGGATTCTTTGCTTTTCTCTGAAGGCTGAGTAAACGTCGATTTCTTCCTCTACAGTTTCCGGGACTTTGAAACGGCAGCCAGAGATTCCAATGAATCTCTTTTGATCCGATGCAGTGATGCCTTCGTAATTCCACTGCGCCATCTTCATGTCGTGTCTTACTTGCACCATTCGGTTGATGATTTGGACGGTTGTATGAACTGCCTTGAACACCTCACCTCGTTTCAGAAGCGCCAATTTAAGTCTCTTTTGGGCTGTATGAAGACTTCGGAGGAGGGATTTGGCGAGAGAAAGATCCTTTCTAGCAGCTGGCTGGAGAATCTCTCGCACTTCTGAGCAGTCATCGCCTTGAGAAATCCTTTTATTTACAGATCGTTGGAAACGTAGAACTACGTTGCGAAGAGATGTCGTGTGCTCACCCAATTGGATTCTTTTTCCGGGATATACCAGTGGCCGAATGCGTATTCCTACGGCATCCTTCACTCCTGTCCATGAACACTCTTGTGGGAGGGCCTCATCGAGACAGATCTACAAATCACGGCAAATATTCTGAAGTGCATCCTCATCTGACCGTCAAAGCGTATGTTCTAACCAGTGGGCTTGGGTCCCAAGACGCTCACTTTACCTCCATACTGGCAATGCTGCTGCCATTAAGACACAGGAACCATCGCCTCTTCACGTCGCTAAAAAGTATTCCATATTGAGGTTCCGCAACCTCCCTCTCCTCTTCTTCCACTTTTCGGGCCTTTGAAATCAAGTTGACTTTTAGTTCACCTAGGCAGAAATAGGTAGAGACATTGAGTCTTTAAAAGGGCGGAAAATTCATGAATGTGTGCAGGAAATCTTAAATGAGAATTTGCAAACCTCCATTACGCATGACCCATTTAATGTGTTCACCTCCGGTGTCGCATCTGTGTAGTTTGGAATTGTATCAACTAATGCCACAAAATGATCACTTGTGTGCAAATCTCATTGATATGCAAGTTGCTTCTTGCCTAGCGTTATTTCTTCTTTGTAGATTGAGGTGGCTCATTTCTCTCGCAGACTCAAGTTGCGACAGGAGCATGCCAAGCGTTTTGAATCTGTTGCGCGATTGCTCGTGAGAATGGCAGAGGTCCTTTTAGCCAAGGCTGTAATTTGGATCAAAATTTTGACTGTTGCCTTCCTGACCAGGTAAAACACTCATTCACTCAATGCCCACGTTCAGACATGCATTTGGGTGTTTGTAAAAGTAAATGTTATGAAAATTGCGTTATTAGACACACAAGCACACATTAGGACGGAACGTGCGTATACACAGTCTTCTCTAGCAGTCCAAAGTTCATTACGGCTTAATTTACGTGTGGCCCAAGGAAACTACAAAGAAACCAATGGTGCCGATACACTTGTAACTAACAACGCGTAAAAGGAGTGAAAGTTCGCGACTATCTGGAAGCAAAGAACGTTGCTTTACCTTTTTCATCAACTCATCCAATTATTGTAAGACGCATTGCCTTAATCAGTGTGAATAAATAAAACAAATTCAATAGTTTTATTCACTAAGAATTAGTTCACTCAATCACACTTCCAATTTGTACACTCACAAGTGGGCGATGTGTAACCATAAGGCCTGCTGTATTCACCGGACGTAATTAGGAAGGAATTCTCATCCAAACGTCGTCGTCGTCGGCGGGTGTTTAATCGGATTTCGTTTCTGAGCTCTCACATTGAACGGCAAAGGCGAAGTTGTTAAACAGCTGCCTTTAAGGTCGAAAGTGTTGAGCCGGTCTAAACTTATATGCCTTAGGGTACTCGAAAATGTAAGAAGGCGGTCGAATAACAACTGGCATTACCACTAGGAGGGTGGGCAAAGTTGAGCTCCCAATAGAAGGAGGCTAGATTATCCCCTCGGATCACTGCCTAAGGATAAAATGAATAAGATTGAGGGGTTCAACCCCAGGAACCTTATTCTTCTAATAGCTTACTCTTTTTACCATTAGAATCAAAAGACTTAAAAAGTGGATGAAATTTTACGTGGCCCTGCATAACAAGTTGCGATACTTTGTTTATGTGACCACCTGATGTTTGACCCTTGTGCACGTGATCTGAACTTTGTGTTAAGCCAAGGCTCTATCCCTTCTTCCCCTCTTGGAATACATGTGTTCTGCCCAATGTAATGCCTTCTTCAGCCCTGTGGGAAGTCCCGGAACACCACACAAGGTGTAGTTGCGGTAACTGTGCATTGTTAAGAAGTCGAATTCCAACAAAGCAAGGGAAAAGTACATTGCTCAGTTTTAAGACTTTACTGACAAGGCTGTAAACTCAGTATCCTCATTTTCACGGTTGCGCTGAGCCACAGTAGCTAGATGGACGGAGGACGAGAAAGTGGAAGTTCAGGTGAATGCGATCTAGCTCATGAGCCTTTCACATTTTTCCTACTTATCATTGGAGTGGGCATTCTGAATGTGCAGAAGTTATTGTGCTTAACAAGTAAACGCCATACTTAGCCGTCTGAAGCAACCCAAATAGTTGACTTCACATGCAACGCAATTTCCAGCCCTGTGGACTCGATTCAGCGAAGAACTATTGTTTTCACAAGTTCTGGTCAGCAAACCGGTCATTTCAACTGTGGCCTTTCCTCAAATCGCACACAGGTACAAATGGTCACCTGTGTCTCCAAAGTGGGTTTGTCAGACATGTTTTCATACACTTCTTTACAATCACGGCAAACAACAGTGATGATGGGGACATAAGTAATGATGATGACGTCGTCTAGATGCAGATTTCTTTGATAAATTTGAGGCGTCTGAAACTCTTCGCGTTGAAAGTGTGAATTGCGACGAATCATTCCTGTTGTCGTCTACGATGCGATACCAAAGTCAGATGCATGCACACAAGTATCAGCACGGCACATGAATAAAGCTGTTTTGAAGGTCTGGCACCAGAAGTTTCCTCGAGGCATGCGTAACCCGTTCAATCGCCAGGTGCTGAGGCGACGAGGGAATGATATGGATAAAAAGAGTGCAATGCTTTTCACCATAATGCTTTAATGCAGCACACCTTGCCACCATTTTTTCCTGTTAATTTCACTCATTATCAAGAATATTCTGGGTGGATGCTTTGTAGAAGCTGTCGGATGTTTGAGTACCTACAGCAGTTTAGTATTTTGAATAATAAACAGATTTGACGGTCCAATCCCCTTGAAGACAGTGTGGTTGTGGATGCGTTAACTGCATAATTTTTGGTCTCCAATGAAAGTTCTGTTTTCACTTGTCCCACAAATGAAGTTACACCCACAACAGAATTCAGCCAAACTCTAAGCCTCTGAAGACAGCCTATTTTTGTGAAACCAACGAACTAAGGAGGGACCTTGGTTCTGTACTTCCTTAGACATTCCACAGTGGTCCAACGTAAGCCACTGCACGAATGCGAAAGATACAAAGAATTTTTTCGGTCATGCTTTGTGACTGGTGATTTATTTTCAAAACATTTACACTCAACTGTAAAACACAATGCGGTTCTGTCCATTGACGGACACTTGATCTTTAGAACCTGGCGTAAACACATTCGACAGTTCTTGTGTCACTCTTCAATGAGTCTTTCGAGATGGCGCGGATCGAAATTGTGGGGGACTTCAATCCAACGCTTCAAAGTACGCTAATTTAAGTGAGTGGATCAAATGATTGCTCAATAGACAGGCATTCCTACATTGCCTGGTGTGACCCATGGCTACAAGGTAAGTCATAATCAGACTTCTATGATGAACGAATAGTGTTCCCAATGGTAGAGTCATCTTGAAAAGTAGCAGCCCAGAGATTGACGCAGGCTTGTCCTGGCTAAATCATCCAAAGTTACGCTATCAAAAGTAAACGACCATTCGACTGACAAGGTGGCGGATATTAACACGCACACGCGAGGCCGATGTACTTTATTGTGTGTGTGTGAGGTCGTTGAGCCGAGTCTGACGGGACAAGTATTCGGGACCCAGCCTCTAGACATGAAAGACGATGCAAGTCAGTGTTTACGGACGTTATTGTGCCTCGACGTTAGCTGCCAGCATAGTTTTGTTAAGCCTTTAAAAATATGATTGCTGTGCTACTTCCTATATGAGTCGCGAAATATCCAGAGAGCAGATAAAATGGAACGGCACCCATCACTCAACGAGTTTGGCAAGATTATTACTGCTCGGTGGCAGTCAGTTAGTAAACGTGCCAACGCCCTTCCCACATCTGGACCTAGATAGTAGTCACTTCTATTCTTTTACACAGACTACCACTGCCCCTTGCCGGGCAAATTCCTCTGACGCCTCAATGTTCTCACGCAGTACTGCAACGTTAATAGTTACTTCCACACGTAATTGGAGGGCGGACAGCCTATTAGAAAATTGTCAAGGTTTTAACTGATAGTGGCGCTAAACACAATCTATAAGACAGGGAAAGGGTGCTCACGAGTAGGCTCTTCCGTGATCGCCAATGTTCCGTTTTCACTAATCGCTATGAAGCACTTTGGCTCCACTTCAGAAGCGTCGTCCATAAGACATAGGAATCCGACATCCATCTCAAGCGTGCGTTCATAGTAAGGTGTGCTTCTTTGACTTCGTCCTAAAATTCGCGATCCGGTGGGATAACGGGAGACTCGCAGGGCCAATCCAGCACTATCAGCACGTGCTGGAGAGAAAAGTATTGCCAGGCCGTAGAAGAATATGAGAGTGATAATGAACCACCGCCAGTGTCTTAGCTGCGCCACAAGGGGAACACAAAGGGGTGGGAGAGGTGGCGTTGAAGCCAACGTTGGTGTTCTTGCCTTAACCACCACGGCGACAATGGTCGTGGAAAGGGGAGAGCAGAAGGGCTTATTTACACTGTACATAAGGAGAAGGCGTAGCGAGGCACGTTGTCGATTATGCTCCGTGTTGAACATGAAGTAGGCGATAACACTGAGGAGATAGCAGCAGAGGTAGAGTGTGGAAGAGCACTGCCTATGATTAACTTTCTCGCGTCTGGTTAATTGCCTGTAGACCCTGCAGAGGTGGCAGTAGGGAGTGAAGATGAAGGTGGGACTATCAAGACGTGAGTGTGCCACAAATGATGCGGTTGCGCCAGCAGAACAGGCCAGAGGTGGGTAGATAACGAGGATCATGGTGAAAGGACATCGACCTGAGAATGGGAAACTCTGTCAACCACTCTTCTGCGTATGTCTGCTTGTTTGAGTGCCTGAGGACGAGGCTGATAGACACTTGACACAGATACTATCTGATTGCGGGCGCGCTGCACGCAAAGGCGGGGAGAACGTACATTGACCAATCAGTGCAGTTGTCAGCTCCACCACTCACAGGCTGCGACGGCGAACGCTACCTGTACCAAAGAGGGTTCTGTCCGAATGGGGAATTTGTGATTAGTTTTCGTATCGCTTTCTGCCTCATGAGAAGTGGTCACTTTGTGTCCTTTAGCTGGACACAGAATGCAATTGACAAACTTTCGTTTTTATTCCTGCGTGCATCAAGGGTTGCTCCAAATTTGTGGCTATTAGAACAGCTTTTCCTTCTGAGGGTGAAAAAACAAGGGCGAACTTAAGCATAACTTTACAAATCAGCGGATTTATCCAATTAGCAGTTTTGATGATTTGGGAAGAAAAAGAATAGCATTAAAAATCTTTTAGTAACAAATAATTTACTTGTAGACAAATGCTTTATTACTATTATTATTACTATTTGAGCGCTTTTTTGAATTTCATGAATAAATCCCAACTTTTTTACATTATTATGTTAAGTGGACATGAACTCGACAAAGGGTGTCGTGGTTTGTTCTTACAAAGCTGATCGACCTTTTATTTTAAAATTTCATTTAAAAGGAAACAACTGAATGACTCATATGCTTGATGTTTCCACAAATGGAATAAATGCCATCTTGCATTATGAAAGTCGTCGTTCGTATTCTAAAAATACAGGCTCGTCACCGGTGTATTTGCATCCTTTGAGGGGACGAAATTCCTCCCTTCCAAAATGACCACAAGCCTCATGACCACGGTTGATTGTAAAGGGGAGGGGGAAAGTGGGCAAATACTATGGTAGCATTTATGGTCGAATCCAATCATACACTAGCACCTGCTTGGCTGTTCTGGGTGGTCGTCTGACGTCACTTTTTGTCACTCTGCCTTGTCTTATTCACCATAAACATCTACAAACGCGTACGGCACTACCTGCGATGTCTTAGACCCCAGGGTGGGGGTGATATTTTTCATTCATTTTCGAAGGAGCATTAGAATGGCGATGGTGGTGGTGCCAGTAATTAAAAAAGCAGATAGGAAAGATCGAAAATCGAGAATAAATGAAGCTCAACGTGACAGTAAGGCGTAACATCAGTCTTCCACCTCCATGGCCAAGCAGTTAAAGGATTTTGTAGTACGCACTTCTTCCTCTTAATATCTCCTCTTTACATGAGGAGATTTGCATGTATCTGCTGATTTTAGAGGCAATCGCACCTTGCTTTACCAAACTTCGTATACCACAGATGGCAAACTGTTATTCAATTGCAGCATGCAAGAAAAATTTGACTTAAGGTCAAAAATTTACAGGCCATGAAAGTCATGCCACCTTTACTGAATTGGTGATTTGGTGAAGAGAAATACTAAACGAGATGAAATGCTGATCTTATTTGCATGGGATGCAGTAGCAGTGGCTACACTACGAACAACCGCATGGCGGCTCTAAGAATCGGTTGTTGAAGACGGATTTTCTTTTCCTCATAATTATATACTACACATCTAAAAGTTGAATTTCCTTGAATTCCCTCGTGATCAAGGATAGGATCATGGGATTGCCGACTGTGTACAAGAACTATCACCAATGTAGCAAAGCTTTCGGCAACGGAAAGAAGGCAAATGTAGTCAACATGCTTAGTGAGTAATCGCAATTCTTTCACATGCGTAAATTTATTCCTTGTCAAACTCTGAGAGCTCATTAAAGGGGCCCCACTTCAAACCTTGATAGGAACGAGAGGTACAGTGAGAGAAAGGTATTACTCTGTTTCCCTAATGTAGCCTTTGAGGACCGCAGTATTTGCTTCCTCAATGACAATTGTGGAGATAGATTTGGAGAATTTATTGTCCGACATTACGCCTGGCAATAAATCGTCCCCACACTATAAGTTCCATCGAGGTGGGTGGATGAGGAGACTTGTATCCCAAACTCTGTTTATGTGAGCTTCCATCGCAGCGATTGGTAGGTCGTAGTGACTTACGGATGTGACTGGTTAAATGGATTTGGAAGCGATCTACCGATGCCACTTACTTACGACGCCTCAAATATCTTATTAAAGTCTCTGCATCGTGGACAGATGATACAGCTAAAGTAAGGGAAGAGACATCTCACTGACTTAATAATTCTGCCTCTTTCCACACGTTAAACTGTCCTTTTACCTCTGAGAACGGAGGTGAGTGGTCGGTGCGATGGGCCTTCGAGCAGTACGTGATGCTGCCTCACCTTATTTCAATGATCTTCAACCAAAATAATAATATTTGAAAACATATGTGGCAAAATTTGCAGAAAATGTCACCCTCTTGATCCTTTAACCTACAGAAAGCATAATCAGAATCCCTTTTGGTAAAACTGCTAATTTTTTACCATTTCCACCAAAATGGACAAGTTCCTTTTTCCACTTTAATTAAAATTTCACTCTCTTATAGAAGGTGAATAAAATAGGTCCAGTGTACCCGGCTTCTCCATTGTTTCTCCTCAAAATTAAGGTCTTAGAACAGTTTAATGGTCTCAGTTGCAAATAGCTTGACGAATGTTAAACGCTACCGATTTCCGGAGACCATGGAATTTCTACGCCTTAAAGTGACAATAGCGTGGCATGTTGACCATCATACACATCCTAGGTGTAGTAATAGAGGAGACTTAAGGGATTCGTAGCACTAAATGAACGTCATTTTTATTAGATTTTGAAAGGAAAAGAAGACAGCGCAGATTATAAAACACGTTTGGGATTAAACCCTTACAAATACGATCCAATAAACCCCAGCAGTAGTTGTTCATTTTTATGAGGAGGCTTCGCCATTATCACTGCACCAGTTAGATCGAGACAGACGTTTGTGGAGGAGGAATGCATTTTTGGCGTCGATCAACAAAAATGTTTTGAGACTACAGAGAATGGCCACTGGAAGTCGACTATAAGGGAGTTAATTTGAAGCATTCGGATGCCGGTTCTCGATTCTCATCTAACTCAAGCAACTGCCTCACGAGACGCAGCCGTCGAGAAATGCCACAGTCTCACACAATGGCTCCCAAGTAGGAACCCTTTCATTCAGGGCGGTTGGTTGAAACATGACAGATGAATAATGTCGAGGCGACCATTTTATTTTAAAGAATTCATTCATTCTCCAATTTTGCATTTATTATCACCTGTCAAAGAGACAAGGAAATGTATGGCAATCAAGGTTTATCCGGTGCTACTAAAAGGGAGTCATGATAAAGATGCTTGAAAAATCAAAAGGAATTCTTTCTTATTAGATCACCTACTATTTAAGGGCATTGGTTAAATTCTCATAAGTTAACTAAGAATTTGGCAGGTGTATGCAGCCACCATCTCGAGAACACTTTGGATCACTATGGCAGGTGAATTCCTCGTGTTCTGTTCTAACTGATTTGATGAGAGTTTGCTCTTAAGCGCCCTCTACTGTGAATAAGTGTGCAAGGCATGGGAACAAGGCGAATTTTTACATTGCTATAAGAATGCAGCAGTTTAAAACGAAAGAGGTGCCGGTGGACGAGTTTCACAATGATCGGACTACCCAGAAAAAAGAAGTATTAAGTGAGGCGAGCATCTTCTGCCATTTGGTGTCGAATCCTTTTTCTTTCTGCGGTATGCACCGCACAATTAGCCGCCTCTATGCACACGATCAAGGAATCCAGACTCATAGGCAATATAACAGAGTCAATGTCCTCTCTTGCTGCTCCACGCACCCACAATAAAACTTTAGTCAAACCTGCGGATTTTGTAATATTGAGGCCTAGATGAGCGCCATTTCCATCGCCCTTAGAGAAAGTACTGAGACGGAGGATTTATTGTGTGCTACTTAAAATAGTAAGAGTTAAGCAAAATAGTGAAGGCATTATGCAACCTTCCCTTTTTGAAGACTTCGGCTTTTGCCGCGTAGTCGGTGCTGTAGTAACGATTTGTTTACGAACAAATTGAGACAATCATTCAACACGTGTGCCAATGAAGGGTGGTTAAATCCAGCATTACTGATCCCCCTTGGCAATACCGATGGAGCTGAAACTATGTCCTGGTTAAAGGGTGTATGTGGGAAAGGAGGATTGTGCATGGCGTGAAACGTCCAATGCGTGACGTAAGAACTCCATCGTGAAAGCAAGTACTCCATGGTGGATACGAGTCATATTGAAAGTGCTTTTTGCATCTGTTTAGTCGTGTAACTACCCTATCTTTTTATTTTGCTGCTATCCAGCTGATAGAAGGTTAAGGAAAGCGATACCACGTTAGTAGCATCTTTACGAGCTCTTCCAATCGGTCCACAACCGCAGCTGGCATTGCTCTAAAGGTTAATTCTCTTTCCACAGAACACTGAACTGGCTGTCGAAAGGCCGTTAGACACTCCCTCATTTCGGTTGCATTAAGATAATAACATCCAGCAACAAGAAGTGGAATAATCAACATTTTGGACGGGTTTGTTTGCGAGTGCCACTGGTGTAGCTCCTTGAGTCTTTACACAAGCAGTGAGAAGACGCAGCGTTGAGCAGGAAAGTATGTGATTTACGTGAAGAAGAACTGAGGGTCACCAGCACAAAATGGTGGCTAAGTCGCCCAGCTTTGGCAAAGCACAGAGTTAAGTAAAACTGCCTGGATCTTACATACAGCGAAAATCATTGCCTATTACCTATCCATGCCAAAGGTCAAATTATGAGGCAAACCGACTATAATTTTGGGTTTAGTGACAAGTGGCCTGCTCCATGATGACTTTGCCCTCTCTGGAGTTAGCGGAGCTAAAAGGTCGGCGAGCTACCACGCCCTCTTATCAGTGGGCCTGGTACCCCGAAAGGATGATCATCAAACTCGTCCATTTTGTAAAGCGAGTCAAATTCGGTCACGAACATGCATGCACGCGGAGGCCATCTCCCTCGC